CTTCAGGTCCCCCTACTAGGCACAGGCCCCTGGCACATGTATCCTTGCTTGCAAGCCATTTCCCTCACTTTGAAATTAAACTTCTGTTTGAGTCCTGACTCTCCTGTATCTAGCCTGCTCTGTTTGGCTCTGGCCATCCACAGATTAGAGGCTGATTCATTCTGGTTGACATTAATTGGTATCAGAAATGGGATTTGAAATGGAACCAGGCCATTGGACTCTCTGGTGCCAATGGGAATGGATTAGTCCAACTCCTTCCCCCAAATCTGGTGAGTCCTCTGCCCTTGCTCCTGCTCCAATTTTTGAATTTCCACCTTAGTCAAGGTCACCATTCTTTGTGAAGAAAACATCAGATGCCTTCTGGTCCGGTTCATCTCAGATCACTCTGGTAAAGATATCCTTTCTTAAGCCTCACATCTCTGTTAATTGGCCACTCTACAAGCCTCCGTTTTTTTTAAACTGCACACCTCTATAAAGTTGTAACTGTGCCTCTGTTGTTTCTTGAACTGCATACCTTGGTAACTGTGTGCCTCTGTAAAATTAGAATTGTAATTGTGTGCTTTGTTAAATCTATCAGTGTCTGTTTGTACGTCTTGTTGTTTTGTCTGTGTCTTTGTAAAATGTAACAAGTCAGGGGCAGCTAGGTGGCGCAGTGGATAGAGCACTGGTCTTGGAGTCAGGAGGACCTGAGTTCAAATGCAGCCTCTGACACTTGACACTAGCTGTGTGACTCTGGGCAAGTCTCTTAAGCCCATTGCCTAGCCAAAAATAAAAAAAATAAAAAATAAAAATAAAATGTAACATGTTTATATTGTGTTTGTATTGTGAGCTAGATTCTGTTACCTTAAAAATTTTTAAATGCAGCCAGTCAGAAAAACTTCTAAGGGATGTAGCTAGAGAGTTTAGAACAGTGGGAAAGATTAATGAACTTCAGAGTTGGAGCAATTGTCCCAGTAAGGAAGACTAACTGCCACTTTAGTCCTACCAACGGAGATTAGGTTATAAGAAAAGAGAAAAAACCTGCAAGACATTCTTTTTTCCTGTCATTGCAGCTTTGGCTACGTTGGAATTGCAGAAATAAAGTCAGATAACCAAAGTTTGTGGAACTACTAAAAACATCATAGCAGATTAAGAAGTTTGAAGATTAATCATTTTAAGATTGTAGGAGAGAATTCCTGAGACTTTGGGGGTAATTCTAGGAACTCATTCCCTTCTGAAATATCTCAGTAAGTCTTGGGGTACCACTCTGAATTTGTTTTAAGGAAAAGTAAGGATTGAATTTTATAAAAGTTTTAAAAGTAAATGGCAAGATTAATAGCTTCATTGTTCTAGGGCAATGAAGGAGTGCAGCTAGTTTGGAAGTTATTCCAGAGTGAAGAAAGGGGGAAAAAAAGGTAAACTGTTCCCATTTTATAGCAACTTTTTCTTAACTCTTCCTTGAATGATTGTTTAAACCAGTGATCCCTTATGACTCCCCAGGTCAGAGACCCTCTCCCTCTTATTCTGATAACCCCTCTCATCTCAGATCAGATTCTCAAATAAAGGTGTTGAAAAAAATGCTAGAAAAATCAAATTACATTCTAGTGGCAGAAATTTATTAGCTGTGTAATCTTAAGCAAGTTATCTTATCTCTGTTTGCCCAGTTTCCTGATCTGTAAAGAGAAAAATAATAATGGTACCCACCTCCCAGGGTTGTTGTGAAGATCAAAATAATAAGTGATTGTCAGTGATTGGTATATGTTAAGCACTACATTATTATTATTTCTTTAATTGAAAGTAATTGTTCCATATCGGATAACTGTAAAGTAGTTTTGAAATGTCAAAGGTAATAAGATAAATGATTTTTATGTGTGATAATTTGGAAATGCAACTGATGTCATCTGTAGTTTTTTGTTTGTGTTATTATTCTATTTATAAATTCTCTTATATTGTGATATTTGCAAGGCAATTATAATAGAAATGCTGTTAAACAAAACGACTTTTTAATCTGGATGCTGTTAGATATAAATTGGGCTTTTAAAAAGGATGTGATAAAAATAGACATTTGAAAACTGTTAAATATTTAATGAGGTATGTTTTATTATAAAGCAGACAATAAGTTTACTATAACAGCAAATTTTCATTTGAAAATCTTGGCTATTATTAAAGTGTATAAGGTGGCTTAATGATATAGCTTCAATATATCAAGGATGAATCAAGTATTAGGTATTTGCTATATTTTGGAAACCCCAGAATATGAGTAGTTTTAATTTATAAGTAAAGGTTGAATAAAATGTATTAACTGTTGGGGAAACATCAGGAAAGCTATTCAAGTCCTAAGTTGTCATTAGTGAAGTTTTGCTGGTAAAATTCTTGGGACTACAATTTACTTTTGTTTTGACCTTTGATTTGAATTGTCACAAAGCCAATCATAGAAAATGGCATGTGCTGCAGTCTGAGAGCTGCTAAATGTCTCTGCCTATGAAAAGTTTTGGGGACAACCTTGGCACAGCCTAGAGAGGACCCTCCTGACTTTATTTCTTCACTGTGCTATTTCCTTTCTGAAAAGGAAAATTCTCACTTGGTTAATCCTGAGCCTTGCTTTTAACACCCTGTGACTACATGATTTGCTGTCAGATATGACTCATGCCTGGAATTAGACAGAGCTAAGAGAGTTTTTCCCTCTGTTATGAGGCATAACATTGTTATAACTATGTCCCTCTTTTTACTTTTATAGTAAATTTCTATAATCAAGAAGTTTTGTAAGTACAAAACTAAATCTTTTATAAAATAGATTGATACTGGAACATCTCTGAGTTACTATAATAGGATGCAAGTATGAACATCTTACAATTTTAACCTATATTTGTGTTCAAATTATAACATAGGGATGATATCCTAATAAGAGGGCAGTGATTAGACAATGCAATAATACAAAGATGTAAAACTTTTTCTAAATAAATGGAATAATAAATTTTGAGAAAGCAACAGGATTAGATTTTTCTCTAAGAACTATATACAGATGTGTATGATTGGATTCCAAAATTTATCTATCATGGAAATTTAGGGTTTGAGTATATTTTAGTAATAAGTTATCAAACATTATTGGCCCCCTCTCTTTTCTGCTTGCAAGCAAATAATAGCTAGCAATGGTACCTGGGACATACTTTCCCAATAGGTTTCCTCAAGGAACTAACCACCCTGGGCAACATCTTGTCCTGGTCAAATTGTCCTTTCTTGGCATCTTGACTTATACCTGCCTCTCCTTTATTGGCCAGAAGGATAGGAGGTCTTTCAGACCTCCCTTCCTTTGGCCAAAATGAGGAAATGTGAAGATATATTAGGAGATACCCTTGTTTTCCAGAGATAAGGCCCAGCAAGTGAGCCGTGCCCTAAGCTTGGCATAACAGCAGTCCTCTGGACGATCTCATCCTCTGGCAAAAATCACCTAATTACTGTATTGCTTTGACCAGCACCAGGTGTTCTCTGAGCTCAGACAAGCATGGGACAAGCTTGGACAAGTATCCGTGTTCTAGTCATGAAGCCCTGCCATGAATCAAACTTGTCTCATTCTTGCTGTTACCCCTCATTGTCATGATGCGTAGCCGTTGGTATAACCATTAAGATCTCCTCACACTGCTTCAGGTCTCCCTGTTGTGGTTTAGGAGTTGAAGGGTGCTGGGAATCCAGAATCACAACACACAGGTCCTGCCTGAAAGAATTTGACCCAAGCTTTCTTTCAACCAAAGACAAGTTTTATTAAAGATTCGCCATATTAGCCAGACTCTTAAGGAATGTGAGCATCTGTGAGCTATTGCCTAGATTTTAAGAATCTGAGTACCTTAATGGAGACAAGATGCACCTTGTATACAGAAAGACTGTGGGAGGGATCTAGGAGTGGCCAAGTAGTTTGGGGTGACTGGAGGAGGGGTCTAAGGAAGTTCTAGATGGGAGTGGCCAGTAAGCTGGGGTGAACAGAATGCCTGGGACCTGGACCATGTGGCCAAGGGAGAATGGAGTCTAGATACGAGTAAGGGTGGGAAGTGGGCAGGGGCCATCTGGAGGTAAGAAAATGGAGGGTTAGGCTAGGTTAAGGGTAACAGAATTGGGAGATTGGGCATAGGTGATAAAGGCCACTTGATGGGATTATAGCCTCAGGCAAAATCCAGAGATTTGGCCATGTGGGAAAGTCCAGGATTTTTCCTTTCTGAGGTCCAGATCCCAACCCCATCATTCCCTTCTCAAACAAATGGGACCCAAATTATTTTGGGGGTAAGGGGCAAAGATCTTGGCTTGGGCCTGTACCTCATCATTCCCACTATGGGCAGAGCCCTGGCACACATGGCCTTGCTTGTAAGTCATTTCTCTCACTTCTGTTTGATTCCTGACTATCCTGTCTCTAGCCTGCTCTGTTCAGCTCTGGCTATCCACAGGTTAGAGGCCAGTTCAATCCAGCTGACATAACAAATATGCATAGTCAAGCAAAGCAAATTTCCACATTGGTCATGTCCAAAATTATATTTCCTGATCTGCACTCTGAGTCCATCACCTCTCTTTTAGGAAGTGAAGTAGCATGTTTCATCTTAAGTCCTATGGAATCATGAATGGTCATTACAATTCTTAAGTCTTTCAAAGTTATTAGTTTTTATGATATTATTATTGTATTAATTGTTCTTGGTCTGCTTGTTTCATTCTATATCAGTTCATACATGTCTTCCCAAATTCCTCTAACACTAAACCCTTCATCATTTCTTACAAGAGCTATTGTAATATAATGAGCAATCATTATTGCACAGGGGAGAGAAGACGTTGCTCATCTCCTCCCAATAATAGAAGTAATGTGAAGATTTTCTTGTCATTAGAGATTCATTCCTTTGGATAGGAAAAGTCTTTATTCTCCAGAAATCCCAGGGAAGATGTATTGCTATGGTCTATAAAGAGGGTGCATTGCTATGGTCTATACAGAAAGGAAAGTCAGACTAAGAGGATATTGCATGCAGGCAGTGACTAGACCCATTTACCTTTAATTGCAGCCCAGTGAAGTGGAGTTCGGTCATTCCAGTCTTCATCCTTGTGGTTCGGATTGTAAAGCCCCTTCTTTAGCATCCTCATCACCAAATTGTAGTCCCCTATAGCAACAGCCTGGTGAAGCCTGGTCATATCTGTCATTCTGGATATTTCCTGCTAAGAAAACAGTCACAAATGTACAATATGTAAATTATGTGGGGTGTCTATAATGCCTCATTATAATGCCTCATATCTTTCGTGTGTGTGTGTGTGTGTGTGTGTGTGTGTGTGTGTGTGTATGTGGATAATTGAGCACCTTCTGGATTGACTCAGTCACTCTAACCTGCCCTCACACTGCGGAATCTCAGTTCCCAAAGAAAGACCTCTACAACACAGTTATACTCAAATTCTCTCAAGGTCCTAGGACAGAGATGGGGAACCTGCAGCCTCAAGGCCACATGTCCTCAAGTGCAGCCTTTTGAATTCAAACTTCACAGAACAAATACCCTTAATAAAATGAATTGTTCTATAAAATTTGGACTCAGTCAAAAGGATACACCCAAGGATCTAGAAGTCCACATGTGGCTTCAAGGTCTCAGGTTCCCCACCCCTGTCCTAAGGTAATTCAATTATAAGGGAATTTTCTCTCTTTACTCACAACATTAGCCATCACGCCCCCACTGTAGCATTTCTATTTACACAACCAGCTGCTCACAATAATGATGCTTTTATGTGTTAAACATATCCATTTATATATCAGTAAGGCAAAATAAATAATAATATCACAGGTACTCATATATTTTAAAAATGCATCAATAATAACTATCTACATATAAACTTGGGTCAGGTCATACTTTCATTGTATTCCATATCTATGACAAAGAGTTGGCACAGGCAGACATCTGCCAAGGAGGTATCTGAGTGAGAACAACCCAGTTAACTTAAAAACCTAGAATTGTAAACTTTTATGTCCTCTTTCTGTCTTAGGAATTGTTCATAAAAGTTCCTTGATGAATGTAACTTTTGTGTTAAATAGATACTCCTGCTGCTAAGCTGAGTTGATCCAAGTTATGCTTAACTAACACCTCACTGAGAACAATGTCTCAGCCAGACTAGTCAATTAGCTGATGTAGTTTTTTCTCTTCTCTTGTCTTTCTGACTTCAAGTCTAAACTTAGATAAATTATATTTGTCCCATAATTATACAATAGTTCTCTTGTTCATGTCTCCTATTTTCTACATGTCACATTCCAAACTCGGTAACTAATTGTGTCAGATCTCTCAGGCAAACCAAACTCCCAGAAACTGTCATTCAGATGATCAGTTCCTCTTCTAATGCTGAGTGCACTTAACTAGACAACCAACCACAAAGTAACAGTGCAGTGAAAATAGAATCATGCTGCTGGGGGGATATTTCCAAAGCACATTTTTTTTTCTGAACAGAACCCACCTATGCTTTGGCATTATTTACTTCCTCATATATCTCCTGAGCTAAAGCACATCAGCATCCCATTTCATGCCCTGCTAAGTTTATATTTAATTCTGCTATCTATAATGAGTGCATATCATTTCTCTGATCAAAAAACCTTTGGATAAAATAAAGTCTAAATGCCTCAGCAGAAAATTCAGAGGGAAAATGCTAGTCAGAGAAGGCCCCGTATTAAGGCTTTCCATAATCTGACTCCCAATTGAAATAGCACTTGATTAGGAGGCCATGTCGCATGAGAGCTAACCCTGGACTCAAGAAGACCTAAGTTCAAATCCTGGCTCAGATATTTACCAGTTGTTTGACCTTGATCAGTTCACTTAAACTCTCTGAGTCTCAGTTTCTTCATCGGCAAAATGGAAACAATAATAGCACCTATTTGACAGAGTAACTGTGATGGTCACTAAAGGATAACTTTTTTTTTCAAGAGTTTTTAAACTTTAAAAGCGTTTGTAAATGTAAGTTACTAGTATCATTGTATTCTCTTCCCAACTCTAGCACTAACCGACTAGCTGCATGACTTTAGAAAAGTCATTCCATCACTCTGGTCCTCATTTCCTTATCTGCAAAATGAGAGGTTTATATTAATGCAGAAGAAGTAGTCTTGGATTTGGAATCAGAGGAACTGAGCTCAAAGCCTGCTTCTGCTACCTTAAACAAGATATTTACTCTCCCTGGGCTTTAATTTTCTCCTTTATAATATAAAGGGATTGGACTAGATGGTCTTATACAAATGTGGCACTTTCATATACAAATCTATGATCCTATGATCTCTAAGTTCTCTAACACTTTAGCATTCTGTAAGTCATTTTGCCTACAAAGAATCAAATTTAGAATCAATTACTGTTAAAATGATAGCAGATAATTGAGGGAAAACACATGAACAAAGGAAATAAAATTATTGCTTTTTGTTAACAATATAATGTCCTATTTAGAGAACCCGAGTAAAAGTTAGATAAAACAATAACTTCAGGAAAGTAGCAGGATATAAAATAAACAAATCATTGGTATGTTTGCACATCACTAACAAAACACAGGAACAGATAGAAAGAGAAATTCAATTCAAAATAACTACTGAACATATAAAATGTTTGGGAGACATTTTAGATGAGATTATAAACTTTACATATATATTATATATAGATTATAAAAGTTAGTATAAATACAACTACAAAGCTCTTTATAGGAAATAAAGTGGAGAGATATTAATTATTTGTGATCTGTCTGTGTCAATAAAATAAAATAAAAATACCACCTAAATTAGGAAGGAAGGAATGAAGGAAAGAAAAGCAAACTATCAACATTCATATGAAAAATTATTCAAATGACTAATAGTGAAAAATCCATTAATATATTCATTAAGCACCCACTGGGAAGAGAAATCTAAAGAATACAAATTAAGATATTTGTCTAGGCAGCATTGTACAACATAGCCAAAGTTCTATTCACACCCATCATATTGACAAAGAAGCAAAAAAAAAAAAAAAAAAAAAGGAAAATGGCAATTATTGAAAGAGATATTAGATTGAGCAGGCCCACTCATACACGGCTGGTGGAGATGTGAAATGGTACAAGCATTTTGGAATGAAATTTGGAATTATATTCAGAAAATCACTAAATTGTATGTACTTTTTGGCCCTATCAATAGCACTAGTAGCTATATATCCCAAAGAAATAAAAGGAAGAACAAAAGGATACATATAGTATTGTATTACTCATTGTAGTACTTTTATTGTAGCAAAGAACTGGAAACTAAAACAGGTCCTTTTAAAGTGTTTTTCCATGCTCTGACCAAATTTGCAACTGCATAGCTAGAAGACAATGGAGGGAAGATGAGCCAAAGGTTATATCTGGTTCAGGCACTTACTCTCTATGTGACCTTGGATAAGTCATCTGTGGCCTTTGGTTTCCTCATCTGTAATATGAAGAAGCTATAAAATGAAGGTGGCCCCTTAGATTTCTTCCTGACCTAATATTCTATGAACCTATAAAGTTCACTTGTGCAGAGTTTACAGTTTAATGTCAATGTCTCAGGCTCTTCCTTGTATATGCAACTGAGATGCATTTATAAAATAAATTTATAACTTTATATGTATATATTTATTATATATAGATTATTTATTATATTAAATATTATATAAATATATATTTATAAAATACAATTTATGGATTTCTTTTTATATCACCTATGTTTCCTACTATTTTCCTGCTCCTCCCCCTCCCAGGGAACCATTCCTTAAAATAAGGAATAAAAAAATGGGGGGAGGAATCAGTGAAACTAACCAACATATTGAAAAAAAATCTAACAAGGTACATAGTGTTCCACACCCATAGTCATGCAGGTCTGCAAAGAAGCAGAGAAATGTACTTTATCATCTCTTCTTTGGACCAAATTTAGCCCACATACATTTTTTTTAAAATACATTTTTATTGAGATCTTCTGTTTTTGTGTCACTTTCATTTTCAAACATATCCCTTACCTACCCAGTGAGTTATCCCTTATGACAAAAAATAAAAAAGAAAGAGGAGGGGGAAAGCAGGTCAGTAAAACTAATGCATAATCTGAATCTGACAGTAAATACAATGTCCCAATAATATTTTTTTAAATTTAATTAACAGGCATTTGACTTCCCACTCGTCTGACAGAATTGTTCCAATTAATTTACAAGTATAATTAACTTACAAGGGCTCCATGAACATAAAATAAGCACTGGGTAAAATATTATAACCAAAAATAACATTATTCTCTGATGCCTCCTTGACTCACCCGGCAGGGAGTATGGTGAGGGGTGAAAGAACGCTAGTGGAATTCTCCCTAAGCTTGTTTAGCAGTGCTGAAATCTGGCACAGGACTTCAGTCTTCCTGTTTGTTGGTGAGCACCATGGTAACTGTTTCCACCTTGGGATTGGTTGGCCTAAAGAAAAGTCCCTTTCATGATTATTTTCCTGACTATCTTCAAGCATTTCTAGATCTGGCCAGAATTGTAAAGTAGGATGAAATTTGGTGCCTTCCCACCCTTGCTTTCAGCACTCTATCCTACAGATGCCTGGGGATCTTAAGTCCTTGCCTGGCTCTCAGCTCCCCATGCAGCAGACCTTTCCCTTCTTTTCCTCTTGTCAAAATGAATCTGTCTCTTCACTTTCCTTAACAAGCTCTCAGGTTGGAAAACAAGTATCTGATAAAAGAATTCCCAATAAAGTATCAATGACAGAGTATGGCTAAAGAAATGAAGACCTTCTCTCCCCCTCCCCAATTAATCCATACATCAATAAGGATTTAAACACCTACTATGTTCCAGCCACTGTTCAATGGATAAATTCTTATTCTCCAATGTGGACTGAAAAATGGAGAATATTGCTCCCATCTTACAGGTTTCTTTCAAAGAAATTGCAGAGTTGAAGGATTTGAGTTTATTCAGTGGAGGACTGAGGAATGAAACACTGAAATTTTAACTCTGAGTCTAACATTCTATCAGTTGGACAGGATGCTTAGATGAAAAACTAAATGCTACTGTTTTCAAATTCCATGCCCTACTTCTGTTAGGGAGTCTAATAGAGAGTCAGGACGATAGAAACGATAGGAAAGGGTAGAGATTGGGTCAGGCAGAGCTCTATAATGATGGTCCTTGCAGCTTTCTGCTTTGCTGAAAAAAAGGCTGATGTTTATGAGGTCAAAGAGATAGAGAAATAACAGAGCAAAGAACAATTCTACATATCCCTAATATGAGATAAGTAAAGAGTTTTGATCATAGTAAGTATTTATTTAAGATTTTCTATGTTCCAGACAGAACACGGGGCACTTAGAGCACCAGACTTGGAATCAGGAACACTCATCTTCATGAGTTCAAATCCAGCCTCAGGCACCTCCTAGCTGTGTGACTTTGGATGAATCCCTTCATGCTATTTGCCTCAGTTTCCTCCTCTATAAAATGAACTGGAGAAGGAAATGAAATACCACTCCAGTATCTTCGCCAAGAAAACCATAAATGGAGTCACAGAGAGTCAGACATGACTGAAATGACTTAACAACAGTAACATGTTCTAGACACTGTGCTAAAAACTGAGGATACAAAAAGAAGCAAAACAATCTCTGCTTTTGAGGTGCTCATAGTCTAAAGGGGAAGATAAAATTTTTAAAAAACCTATGTACAAACAATATATATAGATATATATGATAACTTGGGGGGGATCTAAGGGGAAAGGGAATTAAGATTAAGGAGGACTGGTAAAAGCTCCTTGCAGAAGGTGGAATTTTAGCTGAAACTTAAAGGAAGCCAGGTAATCCAGGATGCAGAAATAAGGAGGAAGAACACTCTAAGCATAGAAGACAAACCAGTGGAAATGTTCTGAGTAAGAAGATTGAGTATCTTTTTCAAACAACAGTAAGGTCAGTGTCACTGGATTGATTAGTATATGGGAGTGCATAAGTTATGAGAAGATTGGAAAGGTAGGAAGAACCCAAGTTATCAAGAGTTTTTTTTCATTTTTTATTAATTTATTTTGATTTATCAGCAATCACTTCTATAAGCTTTTGAGTTTAAAATTTTTCTCCCTCTCTCTCCCTACTTCCCTCCCCAAGACAGCTTGCACTCTGATATAGGCTCTACATACACATTTCTATTAAACATATTTTCACATTAGTGATGTTGTAAGGAAGAATTAGAACCAATAGGAAGAACCATCAGAAAGAGGAAACAAAACAAAACAGAAGAAAAAAAATAGCAAATAGTATGTTTCAATCTACATTCAAACTCCATAGTTCTTTCTTTGGATGTGGATAACATTTTCCATCACAAGATCTTTGGAGGTGTTTTAGATCCTTGCATTGCTGAGAAGGACTAAGTCTATGAACATTAGTCATTGCACAACATGGCTGTTACTGTGTACAACATTCTCCTGGTTCTGCTCATTTCACTCAGCTTCAGTCCATACAAGTCTTTCCAGGTTTTTCTGAAGTCTGCCTGCTCATCATTGTTTATAGCACAATACTATTCCATTTCATTCATATACCACAACTTGTTCAGCCATTCCCTAATTAATGGGCATTCCCTCAATTTCCAATTTTTTCCCACCACAAAAAGAGGTGCTATAAATATTTTTTGTACATGTGGGTCCTTTTCCCATTTGTATGATCTCTTTGGGATATGGCCCTAGAAGTGCTATTGTTGGGTCAAAGGGTATGCACATTTTTATAGCCCTCTGGGCATAGTTCCAAATTGCTCTCCAAAATGGTTGGATCATTTCACAACTCCACCAACAATGCAATACTGTTCCAATTTTCCCACATCTTCCCCAACATTTATCTTTTTCCTGTTTTGTAATGTTGGCCAATCTGATAGTAGTGATGTGGTGCCTCAGAGCTGTTTTGATTTGCATTTTTCTAATCAATTGTGATTTAGAGCATTTTTTCATATGACTATAGATGGTTTTAATTTCTTCATCTGAAAACTACCTGTTCATATCCTTTGACCATTTATCAATTGGGGAATGACATGTATTCTTATAAATTTGACTTAATTCTCTATATATTTAGAAATGAGGCCCTTATCAGAGAGACTGGTTGTAAAAATTCTTTCCCAATTTTCCACTTTTCTTCTAATCTTGGTTGCATTGGCTTTGTTTGTGCAAAAACTTTTTAATTTAATGTAATCAAAATTATCGATTTTGCTTTTCATAATCCTCTGTCTCCTGTTTGGTCATGAATTATTCTGTTCTCCATAAATCTGATACGTAAACTATTCCTTGCTCTCCCAGTTTGCTTATAGTATCAGCCTTTATATCTAAATCATGTACCCATTTTGACTTTATTTTGGTATATGGTGTGAGGTTTTGGTCTATGCCTAGTTTCTGCCATACTCTTTTCCAGTTTTCCCAGCAGTTTTTGTCAAATAGTGAGTTCTTATCCCAGAAACTGGGGTCTTTGGTTTTATCAAATAGTAGATTACTATAGTCATTGACTACTGCGTCTTGCAAACTTAACCTATTCCACTGATCCACCACTCTATGTCTTAGCCAGTACCAAGAAGTTTTGATGATTGCTGCTTTATAATACCCATTAAGATCTGGAACAGCTAGGCCACCTTCCCCTGCATTTCTTTTCATTAGTTCCTCTGATATTCTGGACCTTTTGTTGCTCCAAATGAATCTTGTTATTATTATTTCTAGCTCTATAAAATAATTTTTGGTAGTTTGATTGGCATGGCACTGAATGAGTAAATTAGCTTAGGTAGAATTGTCATTTTTATTATGTTAACTCAGCCTACCCATGAGCAATTGCTATTTTTCCAGTTATTTAGATATGAGTTTATTTGTGTGGAAAGTGTTTTGTAATTGTGTTCATATAGTTTCTGGGTTTGTTTAGGGAGGTAGACTCCTAAATATTTTATAAGGTCTATAGTAACTTCAAATGGAATTTCTCTTTCTATCTCTTGCTATTGGACTTTGTTGGTAATATATAGAAATGTTGATGATTTATGTGGGTTTATTTTATAGCCTGCAACTTTGCTGAAGTTGTTTATTATTTCAAGTAGTTTTTTACTTGATTCTCTAGGATTCTCTAAGTAAATCATCATATCATCTTCAAAGAGTGATACCATGCTACCTTTGTTTCTTCTTTGTCTATTCTAATACCTTCAATTTCTTTTTCTTCTCTTATTGCTAAAGCTAACATTTCCAGTATGATATTGAATAACAGTGGTAATAATGGACATCCTTGTTTTACCACTGATCTTATTGGAAATGCTTCTAGCTTGTCCCTGTTACATACAATGCTTGCTGAAGGTTTTAGGTAGATGCTACTTATTATTTTAAGGAAGACTCCATTTATTCCTATGTTCTCTAGCGTTTTTAATAGGAATGAGTGCTGTATTTTGTCAAAAGCTTTTTTCTGCATCTATTGAGATGATCATGTGGTTTCTGTTAGTTTTGTTGTTGATATGATCAATTAGACTCATAGTTTTCCTAATATTGAACCAGCCCTGAATTCCTGGTATAAATCCTACCTGGTCGGTGTAATATTCTTGTGATTAGTTGCTGTAATCTATTTGCTAATATTTTATTTAAAATTTTTGCATCTATATTCATTAGGAAAATTGGTCAATAATTTTCCTTCTCTGTTTTGACTCTTCCCAGTTTAGGTTATGAAGGGTTTTAATGGCAAATCAAGATTTTATTCTTGACCTTGGTTGTGATTGGGAGTCACTAGAGTTTATTTAATTGGGGTGGGTAGAAGTGACATAGTCAGGCCTGTATTTTAGGAAGATCAATTTGACAGCTAAGTAGATGATAGTTTAGAGTGGTGAGAAACTTGAGGCAGGGACACTAACTAGAAGGCTATTGCAATACTCCAGGCATGAAGTGAGGAAGGCCTCCACCAATGTGGTGTCAAGTGAAAGAATGTGGGTATATATGAGAGGTGTTACAAAGGTCGAATTGACAAGAATTGGTAACAGATTGGCTATGGTGGGGGGAAAGTGAGAGAGGGTGAGGAGTTCAGGATTATATCTAGGTTGTGAACTTAGATGACTTGGAGGATGGTGGTGGCCTCAACAGAAATAGGAAAGTTAGAAAGAGGAGAGGCCTTGGGGAGGAAGATGGTGGGTTCAGTTTTGAACATGTTGGGTTTAAAATGTTTCCAGGACATCCACTTCAAGATATCCAATAGGCAAGTGGAGATTTGACACTGTTAAGAGAGAGGTGTTCCATAAGTAGATTTGAGAATTATCAGCATGGAAATGATAACTGAATCCATGGAGCTGGTGAGATCACCAAGTGAAACAGAGAAAAGAGCCTAGTGTACGAAAAGAAGAAAGGAAGGCAGGAAGGAAGGAAAGGATGAA